AATAACCCTGGAGAAGGAAATGGCAACCCACTCCAGTATTCTTGCTTGGAGAATTCTATGGACAGAGAAAGCCTGGGCAGGCTACAGTCCATGGGATGGCAAAGAGTCAGATATGACTGAGCAACTAACAACCCTTAATAAAGTTACAGAGAAGAATCTACTGTCAAGTCTTTATATCTGTTTCTTTGGTTCTTTTACATTCTTATTTCTCAAAGTAATTTTGTGTTGCCTTTATAATTTATTTATATTTAAATTTTGGTATGTCAAGATTTAGTCTTCCTTATCCTTGCAATATAGTTATGCCACAATCATGATTAAACTAATATTTGGCATGTATATTAATGTGACTAATAATGCTCACTTCTGAGACCAGTGCGTATTTCATGGAGTTCTTAAAGAATTTTTCCCGCTAAAATTATTAATTACTTTTACAATTTGCTTAGCTTTCTATGTATCTATTCCTAAGTGTTCCCAAAATTTCCACGTGTATTAAACCCTCTGAAGGCCATTTTTCACTTAGCTAGATACTAACTCTGGTCAATTCCTTTCGTCCCCTTCCACACTAACATCCACTAACTTCCCCTGCCTCACTCATCATCCACCTGTAGTTAGAGCTCTCAGTATTTGACCAGCTTTTTCCACGTATTCTCTCTGCCCACTGCACAACTACTGTCTTTAGAGTCTCCTCATTTCATCATTGATATCCCTACCATTCTTTTCTCTACCCTTCTTGTCTCTTGGTTCCCAAACGGTATATGTTTGTGCATGTAGGGTGGTCAGCATATGCGTGAGTGTGGTTTATTCTCTATGCTGGTGGAACATATCCTCAAGTAACTTCCAGATAGGTAGCATGGAGACCTAAAATTTTTTGAGAACTAGACATCCCAAACTGATTTTATTCAACCCTTATACTTAATGGGTAGTTTGTGGATAGAATTTTAGTTTATATTCTCTTCCACTTGGAATTTCAAGGGCATTACCCATGACTCTCTTTTAAGTGTCTATTACTGCTGTTGAGACACTATATGAATTCTTATCCTTCCTCTTTTGTATGTAATATATTTTAACTATGTAAAATATATAATTATATATTTTAATGTATTATGTAATGTATTTTAAACAACTATAAACTAGTTGTTTATAGAAACATTTGGAATCTTCTTTGTATCTCCTGCTGTTTCAAGTATAGTAACTTTGTGGAAATTTTTAAAATCAGATAGAACAAGATTTAAAGTTGTTTTATAAGCTGCATAATGCCTATAATTTAATTGATATTAATCTTAGTTAACAGGCATAATCAGCAACAATGTTGATTATTTTCCTTTCCAATAATTGCAGACAGTTTTATAAATTTAAAATATTTTTCATGCAAAAGAGCTCTAACCATTAATATTAAAAAAGGATGGAAAGTACAATGGGCAAAAGTTAGGAGATACTAGATTATATATAAGTAGATTTTAACTTTTGCCATTTAATTAGTTGACTCTGGGTGAATGGTTTCATTTTCTGGGCCTCTGTTTCTATAACTTTAAAGTGGAAATCATTATTCTATACTTACATCCCCCACTGTTTCATGAAAATGAATCAGAAAATGCATTCATGTTTTAAAGGCATTTAGAACAAAGTAAAACTATGTATCTGTAGTATTTATATGTCTTTTTTGTTAATTTTCCACATCTATGCTAAGAGAGTATTCTTGGTTTATATTCATTCACTACCCTGTACTATGTTTTAAAGTCCTTATTTTGATTCAAATGCCTCTCTCTCATAAATAAATCAGAGCACTAACTCCCAATGCAAGTATTTAAGGGACTTCTAGGCAATGAAGACATTTCCAGAAAATATTAAAAACTGCCATTCCAGATATTAATTTCAGAAAGTCTAAAATGTTCTGGGCTTACATTTAGCAATTGCCAATCCTTTAATTTGTGCTTATGGCTAAGAAATGGTCAAGATATATTAAAGAAATTTAATTCATTTCTAGTGGTCAGTTAATAACCTCCAGTGATGAATCTGTCTCAGGTAAAGGCCTTGAATTATTTTTTATTTCAATAATAGACTGTTTTTAGAATATGCTTTCTATGTTAAATTCCCAGTGAGTACTTGAGGACTAGAAATCATTACCACTGAATTTTAAACTCAGGCAATTTAGGAAAGCATAATAAGGTCTAGGAAAGCCATCCTTCATGGAGAGGAGGCATTACTATACAAGGGGTCACATGAGAATTATTCTGGGAAGAAATGTGGTTTGAAACACTGTAATAAATATATATATAATCTTTTCAGAACAAACTGGAAGATGTAGGACCCTGAAAACATCTTTTCTGTTGGAATGCCAAAGGGAAAAAAAGAGAAGCCATTTTAGAAAACATGAGTTTAAAAGTCTTGGGAAAAAGCAGGCCAGGAGTAATCACTTACATGATACAGGCGATGACAGGGAGCTCTGTAGGCGGACTCTTTACCAGCTGAGCTGCCAGAGAAGCCCCAGGGACAGTGGTAGCTAGCATATACTGAGTATGAGCCAGTCACAGTACCAAGTACCTTACACTACTTCCATCACTCCTTGCAGCACCCACTCATGGTAGATACTATTGTTATTCTGACTTTTGTAGACTAGGAACCAGAGACTTGGAAAATTTGAGTAAATTGTCTAATACCATGCATATAAAAATAGTTACATTCACATTGACATTTAAAAATATATACCATGTCCATGAGTAAGAAAATATTACATGTCAAGGTGTCAATTTCCTCAAAACTGTATTAGAATTGTATTATAATTTCAACAAATATTCATGTGGAACCTCCTTTGCTTCTCAACAAAGAGTTTTTTAAAAAAATTGAAAAATGGCTAAAAGCAGTCTAATTTAGAAAAACCAAAAATAAAACAAGAATAACAATGAGACAGGCACTGACAGATACAAATAGAATGAAAGGTCAACAAAATGTTCCATTAAGGCCATTACCAGACATGAATATTCTTGAAAACTCTGAATATGATTGATATGGTATTTCATAGTAGTTAGGAGAGGAAAGCTTATTACCTTATCACCTTGAATAAAAAAATTTACTTAATTCAATATTACCTTTCACACCACAAAAAAGCTAGAAGAAAACAGAAATAATTATGTACCTAATATCCTCCATGTGGAAAAAGAATATTCAAGCAAATGATTAAAGAAGAAATAAATAAAATTATGAACTTGACCTCACATATTTTGGAATGTAAGTTTAGGAATAAAAGTCAGGGATTTAAATTTCCATTTTAAAGGGCTTGGGCACAACCCTTTGTTCACATTTGTGTTACTCATACCCATGGATTGAACACCCAGGGATTGTGCTACAATCTCAGCTTCACCCCCGGTGCTTACCCTGGGGCCATTAACAGCGGCTTTTGGGGGGGGGTTCTTTGGTTTTCTTACCACTTTTGCTACTCTGTTCTAGTTGGGGGTCTTTCAGAATGACTTTGTATTTTTGTCTCTCCAAGCTAATTTTTAAACAACCCAGTTGGACAAGGAAATTAAATTACATGACAATTTTACATAGAGCACTTGTATATTCTAATCTACAAACCCCTAGAGAGATAACTTTCATTTACTCCATTTTCTTTTTCCTATTAGAGAAAATATTTGGAGAAAATTAAACAAACAAAACAAAACACTTTTTTGGTGTGTTTATGAAAACAAGACAGGACAGAGGACTCCAGTCCTGAGACCTAGATTTTTTTCTTGGTCAGGAAGTCATTTCTGTTCTACATTTGCCTCATAGACTTTGCAAAATATGTTCGTACACTTAAGAAGGACTCATATTAATCACTGTTACAGTTACATGTATAGAAAGAGATACCTATATAGAATAGATGAGATACCAGTTAAAATGAGATTTGCATTATTTCTATATAAACCCTTATGCTTAATAAAATTTCCAATATTAAATCAAATCTTGTTCTCTTTCCTAAACCCCTGCCCTCCCCCCATCAACCACATCCTTAGGTTGACATCCTTAGGTGATGTGCTTTCACATACTTAATTATCTGAAAATACTTGCGAGTAGGATTTAGCATATTACTAAAATGGTAGAAGTTTATTTGTTCTGGCCCATTGAAAAGGAAAATTGAGTGATCAAATTCAGGCTTCCAAAGATACTTAAGAGAATAACTGATTTATTAGGGTTATTTGTTCTTTAAATGCACACAGCCAGGCAAAGGAAGCCTCAAACAGAGTTGAGATCCTAACACCTCCTGCTAAAGTTTGTGAACATCTGGTTTAGGAGAATAAATGGGTCATGTCAGTCATTATATGTAATGTACATGGATACCCACCAGCAAAGAATAACATAATTAGAAATTTAAGAAATGTGCAAAGGGCCAAATTGTCTATTTTGAGTGTATTAGAAGTTTTCAAGGTAAACTGGGAAAATATCAGTACAATTGGAAAGTCTAATTGATTTGATCTAAATCTTTAAAGTGGTCTTGCATAAGCTCTCCCAAGAAGTGCATATTTTATCTTGATGTATATCACTCTTTTGGATTGGATCCAAATGTCTTTGTCTTATATCCACTTCTAATTTAATAATAGCTACAATTTAAAGAATATTAATCATGTGCCATACATGGTGCTTATCTGCTCTTTACATTGTGCACTTACTTAAACTATGGGCATTCAATCATTCATAGCAGATATATTTCACAAAAATTACTATTTTCCACTACAACTTAGATGAGAATTTCAGAACCTTTGATTGATCTTATATTCTGACACTGAATTAATCTCCTGCTAGGATTAAAATTTATGAGTTCGTGCTGTACAGAAGATGAAACATTATTAGAAAAAAATGACTAAGAAGAAAACAGATTTTTAAAAAATCAGAACTCATAATAAGTTGACTTGTTTAATAAGTAGTACTTAGAAGTCAACATTAATATTAAAACAAAAACATACAAACAAATCTGTATAGCATACAGATTCAACCAAAATCCAGGATAGTAAATTTTAACTTACCTTCAGTGTCTGCTAGTCCTATGCCTACTCCTGTCTGTTTTATAGGCTCTTGCCCATTCTGTCCCATCTTTCCTCTGTTTAGAAAGGAAATAAAAGTTTATATACTTCAATTATGATCTTAAATGCACATGTGAAGTCTAAGTTTGAAAAAATAGAATGTGACATTATATATTCAAACCTGCAACAAATTACTTGAATGGCATATATAAACATAATAAATTGATTACTATCATGTTAACTTTAAAGTAGATATTTGTTCATTATTCTCATTTAGGCTAAACATTGTACCTCAAAATTCAGTGCTCTATTCATGGACTCATTTATCAAAGACCAGACCATCATGAAATCTTCTAATTTCATTTTGGAATGGGGATTTTTTTTTTTTTTTTTACCATTTTTAACTCAAGAAGGAGGAGGGTTTTTTTGGATCTACACTTTGTTATGATGAGTTGTATAGATCTTTTGGTGAGAAGGGAAATTTTGAATTGCATAACTTAAAATAATATTGAAATAATATGGATGTTTATTTCTTTCAGATCCTTCCTGTGTGTAGCTTATTGGCTTTTGAAGTCATCCTGCTTGGTCTCTACTTCTGCCTCTATTACTTTATGCTGTCATTTAAAGTAAATCTACTTCTGGTGAAGACTATTTCTTCTTTTGTAATTTAAGGATAGTAACATGAGTTACTCTTTGGTTATGAGAAAATCACATGGAACATGTATATAAGTGCTTAGCACAGTGACTGAAACAGCATAATATTCAATATATATAAAGGTCTGATAGGTACTTGCATACATAATGGCTTTAGAATTCAGCCAAAGGCTGCAAACCATTTTTAGGTTTGGCCTTCAACTTCTTTTTGAAGGACAAACAGATGAAGAACTCAGGATTTTTTAAGTTCTGTGAGTTCAGAATATTGATAATGTAACAGCCAAAAGATTATAGGCACTTCTTATTTCTTCAGAGAAAAAGTTACATGGCATACAAAAGATTCTGAAGTTGCCCTTATATGTAGTTATATAAGATGTTCTAAAAAGATGGACTAAAAAGGTTTAAGGGTTTTTTAAAAAGGTGCTTGATCAAAGAAATGTCTTGATATTATACTTTCCAGACAGTAATTCTAACACAGCAGTATTTACTAACAATTCATTTTTATTCTCACAAAAATATTTAATTTGCCCAACGAGCAAAAATGTAACCATACTTATATCTTAAGAATCCAACTATATCTTACTTGAAAACGGCTCTAAAGATCCTCTTATCATTTTACTGAAATGGTTCTGCACATAATGAAATAGGAACTGATGTAAATTCAAAAATTATTTTACTTTGAAAGCCATTACATTGTTCCAAAATAACAATCCTAGGTCAAAGTTTTAAGCACATATTTTTATTTATTGATATTGTGAAGGATAAAGTTAGAAATGTTAGAAATATATATATATATAGTCTGCATCTGAATATGTACAAAAAAGTCTTGATTAAGCAATGCATAAAACTTCAACTTATGTAATTACTTCAGTGAGATTCACGACAAAGAGTTGATAAGTTAAAAAAATTAACTTTGCTGTATCTGCTACTATTACACAGGGAGAAAGCCTAATAGTAGCAATCTTACCTTTAGCAGTACCCTATATTAGTAGAGCTAGCCAAAACACAACCTGTTATGGAGCCATACTCAGTTGAAAGTGAGAAACATTTTAGCAGTGCTTATCTAGTAGATCAGAGTGCTAAAAAATTACTATTCTATTCTGTGCCAGACTTTAACAAAATAAATATAATTTTTAGTAATTGTAACAAGAATTTTTTGGATAATTTTTTATTTGGTCTTGAGGTTTAGATTTAATATTTTAATGATGCTATTCAGCTGCAGTACTTGCTTCTATTGAAAACTGATTTTAACATTTGGTATTTAGACAAAATGTATATTAGGTGCATTTCTAAGATTATACAGAAAACTTGCAGCACTGTGAAAGCTAAATGAAGTACAAAGGAAATATAACTGTGGGTCATATAAAGGATGCAATTTTTTTTGAATTCCCAATAAATAACCTTCAGCTCAGAACATTCTGACTGCATAAATGATAATGTTTATTTGTTAAACAATCACCAAGTAGTTATTGACCATTTATGCTAGCCCAAGCAATAATTGCATTAGATACAAAGGGAGATAAAAGAACCACCAAATACTGCTTCTTACATATCTCCTGTAATGCTTTAGAAAAGAGAACTTTCTTTGGGCTCACATGGCAAAACAATAGCTTCCTAGGCAGTTTGAAAAGCTTTTGATTTACAAAAGAAACAAGAAAATGGGAAAAAAACAAAATTGAAATGTGGTCTGTAGATTTAAAAAAAATCCACTTTAGACATTCAGATATTGAGGAAATAATGTACTTTATGCTCTGGAAGTTATAATTTGTCATCAGTGTTAAATTATATATCTTGAAAGGTACAGATAAACTGGAAGGTACAGGTAAATTGGAAGTGATGTGTGGTGCAAAACCTTTACTGACATACGATATTTACAGCTTGGAGACAGGAATGCAATGACTTTGTGGAAATTCTCTTCTGTTAAATTGGATCATCAATGCGTGGACCTACGAGATCGTATGCCTTTTAGAAATCATTGCCAATAAAAATGAACTGATTAAATACAAGTAAGTCCATAGAATCCACAACCTATATCTTAAAAAAGTAGATGGAGAGATAATCCAATACTGAGTCAAGTAGGAAAAACATATCCTGAAAATCACAAAATAAACATATTTTTCACTGTACAAATCTATTTTACCCCATTATTTTGCTTTTATAAACTTGAGCCATCATCTAAATATTAGAGCTCTTCTGGGGATGAAAAGGAAAGATTTGAAAAAAAACCTTGACATTAAAACAAAGAGAAGTAAAAGTTCCACTCCCAGGGAAGATTTCACTCAACAAAAGAAAATGAAAAAGACCCTTTAGCAAGGGCCCAGGCCAGTGGTTCACAAACTCACTCTGTAAAAGGCCCGACAATGAAGGATTTGAATGGTCTCTGCTGCAATCACACAATTCTGCCCCTAGAGCACAGACAATATTAGGTAACACATGAGCAAGCTGGTGGGGCCGTATTCCAATAAAACTTAACATATGGACACAAATTTCCAATTCACACAATTATCATGTATCACAGAATGCTATTCTTCTGGGCTTTTGGGAAACATTTAAAAATGCAAAAGCCATTTTTAGTTTTTCCCAGACTTTACAAAACCAGGCAGTGGGCTGGATTCACCCTGGCCTAGATCCTGGGGCTGTGGCCCAATGGCATTTTTGAAAACTTAACAACTAGTTACTGGAGAAAGTCAGGAAGTTTAGATTTTTATATTGGAACATAGATAACATATTTATCTTGGATTTATCTTGGATGCTACTAAATTTTGCCACCAATATGACTAAAACCATTCTAACACATTCTAAACACAATCTGCCTTAGTTTTGCATTTTATTTGCAATATGATTTTCTTGAGGCTTAACATATTATAAATGAACTTTATTCCAAGAGTATCTATTTGGGAACCTATATATAGCTTATTACTTGTTCTAGAAAATATGGTTCCACTTCAAAATATTCCATTTTAATGGTAGAAGAATTTATAGTTGAAAAGTTATTAGTAGTCCATGTGTTTTCTATTTCAAATATGATATATGAGCTCTTTATATATATTTAAATGTCTCCTGATTCAAAATAAATTAATCTATACACTATATGATTAAAGCATCCACATACTACTGCTGCTGAACTTCCTTCAGCATCAGTTCAGTCCAGTTCAGTCGCTCAGTTGTGTCCAATTCTTTGCCACCCTGTGGACATCTAAGTTATTATTTTAGCAGCTATTATTGAATATTATTAAATGAATATTGATAATATTCAATACTGAATGTACTGATTAAGTAGTCCTGGTAGTGGCCAGCATTCATCCTTAGACTTCACTAAATTAATCCAATCTTTCCTGAATAGTCTATTTTTCTATTGACGCAAAGAGTGGAAGTGCTTCAGAGACACTGACTCAAACTTGGATAATTATCTAGTTATTTCCTTTCCATTGGTAAGAAAAGCTTACTCATGATGCTGTTAACTTCGTAGTGGAAAAAAAAGAGAGCCACTTACATCCTTGGAATAGGAAATAGATTAGTCTCCCCTGCAGTGCTGCCGCTTCCTTCACTGTCCACGCTATACCCACTGCCAAAGCTGCTGCCCGAGGAGCCAGTGGACACGGAGCTTTCTGCAGGCCGCTGATTGGTGGGCTTGGCTGCATGGTGTGGGAAGAGTCAACGCCACAGTCAATCAATGAAACTCCAACTGACCTCCAAATGCAACTTAAACGTCTTTCTTCATTTACATTATAAAGAAACAGCTCTGCACCAATAACTTTCAGTGGCAACAGTAAAGCCCTCGATTGTTTTTGTTGGACAAAAGAGAGAAGCAAAATCACTTCTAGGGATAAATCATCAGATTTTTAGACTGAGTTAAATATTATTATTATCTGTTGTGATTTATTTTTACTGTATTACAGTAATAATATGGCAAGCAAATAAGAATTGTGGCTATTTCATAGAGAAAAGGCTTTAGGAAGACTTGGGTAGATAGAAGTGACAGAATATGTGAAAATTGCTTCAATATTTTCCATATTAATAACCAGTAATTAAAGAAGTCAAGGTGCAAAATAGATAATTTCAGGAAATGATTATAATTCTGGACTTGTTTGTATGTAGCTCTACCAACTGCCTCCAGCAGGTTTGAAAATTTGAAGATAGTTATTTCCCCTTAGTCATATCCTAGTTTATGAGTGGGAGTTGTTTTAAATAACCCATGAGTTTGATTTTTGAACATAAGAATTCATATTCCCATAGAAGAATTATGAATTTGTATTATAAATTATGCAGTAAGTGAATGGTAATGTTAGCAGAGTTCTAGATTAGAGATTTGGGAGGAAATTTTGATGCCAAAGAAATGAAGAGGAACAAAGAGTTTCCTATTTTTTGTGGGGGTTGGGGAGATGCTCTAGGCAGATTTTTGAAACTATCATTTTTCTTTTGCTGTGTGGTCAGAGTTTTAAAAGTGTGAGCTTTGATCTCACAGAATATAGTTTTGAATCCCCAATCCTGCTGAAGTAACTCTAGGAAGTCTGTTTCCTCATTTGACAATAATGGAGTCAATAAAGCCTCCCTCATAAAATGATGATAATGAGGAGAGAGATAAAGCTGGAATACAGTAACCCACACTTCTTTGTATTTTGATTTTCTTTGCTATATTTTCTTTGCTAGACCTCTTCTTCAGGGCTTTATCATTGATGGTTGTTTCCCAGTCTTTGAGAGTATCTGGTCCCTGACAGTGAATCCACCTTGATTCTCTTCTAGTTTTAGATATACTCTAAGCTGCAAAACTACTTCAATTCTCTCTCCTCCATAAATACTCTTCTACTGTTTAGTTAGGGGTTTCTTAAGCAGTTGGATGGATCCACACCACTTGGTAAAGAGTTGATAATCTTTTAATGATCTTATATTATAAACATTTTTCTTAAGGAAATGTATAAAAGCACAATGGCAATCTGGCGGTGCTTTAAGCAGTATACCCAAATAAAATAGAAAACATAGATACTGTGAAGGAAATCATTTGAGGGCAGGAAACTCTATCAGATTAGCTAGGATCAAGTCTTTCAAAGGTTTTAAGTTTTTTTCTCACTTCTTCCCTTCCGTTTCTGAAAAAGCAGTTTCTCTAAAGCCACCAGAAATTTTCATACCATCTATTTCAGTGATAGTAGGATTCTTTTTCCAGAATATAGAAGGAAGAGATATTTGATAATTAGTCAATTATATGTCAGATGTGTATTAAATTGGGAATAGCTAGTTAGAAAAGTGCCTGAATCTTCTTAAGTAACCAGTCACCAGTGAATTAAGAGTAACGTATAGGACTAGATTTCCAGAAAAAGAATAATAATCATAATGCTTGTTTAACATTCTCTTCGACTTATGTAGAAGAAACCTGGCTGATGTGTTAAAGACTTTTTAAAAGATAAAGTTATGAAATGCAGGGGTAATAGGACATATAAAATTATGAACACACTTAAGTAGATTAAACTGTATAGTCAACTGCATAGTGAGTCATACAAGTCAACGGATTGTAAACAAGGAAAAGCTATCACACTTTTTGATTGTCAATAGATAATTCAACTAACTATATTGTTAATATTTTTAGTATGATACTGAATGTAAGAAAGTGATTTCATCAACTGAAAATCCCAATATATTATTTTCAAAGACAAACCTTAATTAATAGACATTGTTTTTAAATTCAGTTTACTAACTTAAAACTTTATTTTTTTAAATCCCTAGCAATCTCACAAATCTCACAATACATCAAAATATCCAATGATGTCTTATTATTTACATTTCAAAATATCTAATCTTTTCTTTGGCAAACTTTGATTTTTACCTGATGCAGTTTCTAACTCTAGTCCTCTTCTGGGATATTTGAGAAATGTGAACAGAATATGAAACAAAATAATCATAGGAAAGGAAAAAGGCTAGAAATAAATTTAAGGAAACAGTTTTTTCATATTGCCTAGGTGAATGGAAATTTCATGTGTAAAAACTATTAAAGTGTTGCCAATATTTTAAATGCAAGCCAGTAATATTTAAACAAAGAAAATGAAATATAGGGAACATATACAAATTTCAGAATAAATTTCAGAACAGATTTCAGAAAAATAAGTAAGTCCACCTTTGTAAAATGAAATTACAAAATCTAAAGAAATTTTGGGTATTTAGCTGAATAACTCAAATGAATCTATATGTTTGGTATTATTTTAATAAAAGTCTGTGCATGACTGCATTTTTTTCGTAACCTGACGTAAATATAGAGACAGCCTGACATTTAGTTTCTGAAAATGAATTCAATTATAATGCAGAATATATCTTCCCTGTACAGGGCTATATCTTATGTTGCATAAAATGAAGTTAAAAATATAGAAATGCAGTTTTGATGAGCTGGTGTTAAGAGTCCAAATATTTTAATAGTTCCTTTTCAGTTACTTGAAACAACACATCTATTTACTAATTTTCTTTAATTGAATCAGCTCCCACATAAAAAACCATCAATTATATTAAACTAAATCTGTATTTCTGCAAACCTCCAACAGTAAGTTCTAAAAGCAATGAATAAAGTGCTTTAAGGACTTTCTATTAGAGGCCAGATTGTAATTTCAAGACCTCTCATGATTTCAGTCAAATTCTTGTTTGCTTTATCAAATCTGTTTCATTTACCTTATCATCTGTTGTTTTCCACATGTACTTCTTATAATTTTCCTTTGTATACTCTTCACTGAAGCCCATTCAGACCACTCACTTTGAATCTCTATGATTTGGTTTTTCTTCTCCTGAGCTCTAGCCAAGTCTCTTTCCAATTTTGTTATACCTTCCTCTGACCCTGTCGTTTTCTCTATCTAAATGATACTCATCTGGAAAGGCTCAGTTCAGAGAGAACCTGTTTCATACATCTCCCTCATCTTCACAATCAGAAGTGAACTCTCCTGTATCTAGACTCTCACAGCACATAACTTGTACACCTTTTACAGCAATAATCACTTTCTATATTTATTTGCAGTTGTTAGAGTCATGTGGTTATTGGAAGCAGAACCTACCTATGTTTGTTTCCTGGTAGCCTTCTTAAAAGCTTAATCCTGGAACTATGCTGAAGCAATATTTAATAAACTGATAGTAAACATTATAATAATGATAATTATATTAATAATTTTTTCCTTTAACCAAACAGCTTAAAATATCTGAGTGATATAGAAGATTTCTCAATTTTTAAAAATCCAGTCAATCCCATGGATGGAGAAGCCTGGTAGGCTACAGTCCATGGGGTCGCAGAGTCTGAGTGAGTTCACTTCACTCTGTGTTGATACAAATCAAAAATATCGCATCAGAAACACCACAGTTGTTTTTTTTTTTAACCGCATGTTCTTTGTCAATGAAACTTCGGGTGATCTAGTTTTTCTGGTTAACATTTAAAATCAGAGATTCAACTTTAATCTGTCATACTGCATAGAAAAATATGATCACTTGACCAGATGTTTTGTCATACCAAATACCCCAAACTGGTTTGACTGAAAGAAATATTTAATGATAACACACAAAACAGGGGAGAGCATAGCCTTGTGAATTCATAGCAGACCATGAATATTATATATATACACACACATATATATTTCTACACTGGAGTGACAGAATAATACATATGGTAACATTCCATGGGAAGTACTAGAGGGTGCTAACACAGATATTAGCACTTACGCTGACTGTAACTCTTGGTGTAGATAGGAGGTAAGCTCTGGCTTATATTTCAGTAAAATGTCTCTCTACATTTCTTGTAGAAAATAATACTTGAAAACAGTGAAACTAAATATGACTTTTCATAATTTTACTATTTCAAAATTAACAGTTTAAAAAAATCTCTTCATTCTTCCAAATCTTTAACAGAATTTCAGAAATCATGTATTATGTACCTGTGTATTACATATGAAAATATTTATTTTACATTAGGTTTGTGACTTTTTAAATAATGAAAAACATTTTTGGAGCCATTTTCTTAATGAATTACATTTTGGGAAGCCTATTTTCTTTTTGAACTTTTACTTGTATTTTCAAGAACCAACTAGAAAAAAGAATGTATCAAATAAATATGTGATGGTATAAGTCTACTTCTAGAGAGAGGGTTCCTATATACACTAGAAGAATAAATACTAGCATGCTGAATCATTTTGGGACTCATTTATTGAAGGGGCATTTCAGGTAAATTAATTTTATCTTCTGTGAGGCAATTCAATCTGTTTTGAATTATTCTCTGACCTCTTCATTTTCTGAGGCTGCTAGATGGTTAGACATCATTTTCTTTGATTACTCCTCTGTGGCTAACCTTTATTAAATAGGGTAGTGTCTCTTTGACTGCCCATCTGTCTTCAATTAGCTTGCTCTGTTGATTTTCCCCTGTACTATACATACATCTTTAAAAAATGCAGAACTATTACTGTACCTACCACATGATGGCAGCACAGTGTTCAAAGTGCCAGATCGAAATTGTGGATGACTAACTGCACAATCATGGACTCTAAAATTAACTAGTTCCAGAACTATCATCTTGTTTATAGAAAAACTAAGCCCCTCTCCTTTGTTTTTTTAAAGTTGAAAGTTTAAGTGACTTTTTCCAGGTCACACAATCATTAATGAAAGAGAATCAAGACTAATCAAA